CCTCTCCCCATTTCCGGAAAGAAGAGGAGAGCCCACGCACACTCAAAGTGGGAGAGGGAACGCAGGCCTGTACCTTCCGCTGCATTGTCAAGAAAAGTTGTCTTAGCGCTCTCTGGACGGCACCATTTTGTTCGACCGCAGCGCCCTCTCCACACATCCGGGAAGTTCGGCGGGGTAAAACGAGAGAGCACGCGCCCGACTCCACTAGCAGACGACAAACCGGGAGGTTGCCGTTCTCCATCTTTGGGCTGTATCGGCGGGCTCTACCGAACATCAAACTCTCGCTCGTTACTGCCGTTGTGAAGTGGTTCGCGTTCTTAGAATAGTTGTGGTACTCCAAAATCAGCCTATAGCTCTCTGTTGTTCTATTTTGCTAAATGATCAACTAGCATATCTTTTTTCCGTTACTTAAATAGCAGTTGAGTCAGAGATACAATAGTAAGGGTGCAGGCGAGCTGGTGGATGTTAATCATGTTGAATATACCCGAGACTGAGGTAGAAAAAAACATAAAAGTAGCCGAGTTTGAGACGTCGTCCTGTTCCGTTCTGTTTCTTCGACTTTTATGTTTTTTTCTACCTCAGTCTCAGGTATATTCAACACAGTTGAGTCAGCCGGCAGTACTACCCTCAACTACCGCTCGTATTGAGGCAGGAGAGCACGCTTTATTTATTATTTCAGACTTCCACTCATGGTCGCTAAAGGCCTACACCAGTACGAACTTTTGTATAGTAAAAAAGGTACGGCCACCGGATTTACTTTTCGCCAAAGAGACCGGCCAATCTGACACAGTTTTCCCTTTTTTTGTTTTTTATTTGCACGCAGGTAACAGCGCACTTGAACCCTGTGAGTCTTTTTATCTAGCATAGTATGACACGATAACTGGCATACCAAAATCTGCGCATCTGGGCTTGAAAGTTCCAAATTGACGCGATTTTAAACAGAGTTTGCACGCCAGCCGGACGCTAGCTACAGCCCACTCGGCGTGGCGGACGACATCCAGGGTGAGAGGGGGAGTGCATTTTTTTCTCTTTTACCCTCTCTGCTATGACCCTAATGGAACGGTCAATAGGGTGATGCCACCCTTTGTAATACCACTCGCCGACAAACCAGCAGCCATTTTGGTCCTCGGCGATAATCCGTGGGCTTATAACCCTCCCGGAAACAAGCACCTTATCTCACAAGTTCGGAGCACCGTTGTGGAACCCACGGAGCGAGGATTAGCATTTCCCCCCTCGGATGGGAGGACTGATGGACACAAAGGCCAATTTCCGGCACACGGAAAAACAATGAGGAACAAAATGGCGGTGGACGAGGGTGTGGGAAAGAGAAACAGGCACTTGGCATCACCCTATGCGAAGCGCACATGAAGGCACCCTAGTTTCTATGAGTTGCGTGATCGTCGATAGTTGCTGGCGAAACCCATGTGGGTTAGAATGAAAAATGTTAAAGGGGCCCACCAACAATTTTTTGACCGGTTTGAAGTTCGCGCTGAAACGGAGCTCCATGAAAGCAGGGACACCGAGGAAAAAAAATATTACAAAAATTCGCAATATTTTGCGAGTTATTAGCAAATTAAATATTGCAGAAAACAACTTTAAATAAGCAAAACATTCCGCTACATGACGTAAAATGAAACATTTTAGCGATTGGAGCAAAGCGGTTGGCCAATGGGAGCAAAGCGTCGGCCCGGTCGGCTCGTCGGCCATTAGGCCTAGCTGCAACCATCGTAGCTTTGGGTTCGGGTTGCCATCATCGATGAATTTACCGGGCTTATCGGATTTTGAGTGCGGAGCTGGGCGCCGCGCCGTACGAGGACACTCCACGCAAGCGCCGCGTCTCTGCCTCAGTCCGCTTCGACAGCCGCGGAACACTCGTCTCCCGCAACTCCGCCACCGGAGCCACCTCGGCGAGTAGGAGGTACAAACTGGTGAGCGGTCGGGCACCATGTAAGCTGAGTCCCGTCGCCGCACTTCACTCAAACAGTGAAAAGTCTGTCACAGCACTAAAAGAAAATAAGGGTTCCCCTGGCTCCTCTCACTGCTTTTAGTTGGCCGGGACCGGGGGCGCACAAGTGAAAATACGATGCACGTTGTCTGCACGGTTCACTTGTCGTCTGCTCGCGATGGTACGTCGCGGACGCCGCTGGGAGGCGCGCATGAGCGACGAGGCGTTGTTTTCGCCCTTTTTGAACTTTACTTTGCAGCTTTAGCAGCTCTTGAGGAGGAGGAGGAGGGGAAGGTATGGAGAGGAGTGTATGCCCCTCCATCCTCCATCCTCCTCCCTTCCCCTTCCCTCGTGACCCTCGTGACGTCACAAGGGCCACATATGACGTCAATGCCTTGGCGGACACTCCCGAGTGTCCTCCGAGGCATTGATTGTTATGAGCCGTAGTCGAGTGCTCACGCAGTTCTCGTGTCCAAGCCATGAGCTGAACTCGATTGTCGTCAGGCGGGTGGTATGGATGGCACAATTACGTCATTAATGCAAGGCTGCAATAGTCCCCTTTTATCCTCGCAATTTCACCGCGACAAAGAAGCTTCTAAATCAGTGGTGGTCTGTGTAGGACGGGTACGCCTCTGCCAACCCTATTGAAAATCGCTCTGATGGGACTTCAGGATTTTTTTAAAGGGTGTGAAGGGGACTTCAGGAATTTTGTGAGATGTTTGAAGAGGGCACGGATATTTCCTGATGGGTTCGCTGGCCCCGTCAGAGGCTCTCCTGAAATGTCTGAAGTGCCCTTTGCAATGCCTTGAAATGTTTGAAAGCCTGTTAAGAACTTTTCTAATGGGGTCGGGAAAACCTTCAGGCTTCTTGAGATGTCTGTGGGCAACGCATTAGGTGGAGAAAACACATTTCGCAGAATTAGAACATAGCTTCCTATTGTACGCGACGGAAAAAAATAAGTATTTGGAGAATGCCGATCGTATGTGTGTACGGTCAAATATTTATTACTGCTCTTCTATCAAATACGAGGGGGCCCCTGAACCCGTCTGTCACTGCCCGGGTGTTCGGTTGCGAAGGAGGCCACTGAGGGCGACCGCCCTATGTGGATAATTGACGAGCTGCGGGCCGAGTGGTGTTGGCCGAGCGGCGTTTTGAAATGCGAAATCCGTGCAACCATGAATAATAATAAAAAAAAAAGAAAAAAAAAAAGCCGAGAGCAGTGCGTTTTCTAGGAACAGGAGCACACGCGGGAGCGACTCGTTCCGGGAACCGGTTCCTCCACGGGGGACGGTCCCCAAAAAGCAACCCACACTGCGCCTCTCTCCGCCCCTCGATGGGCCTATTTTTAGAAAAAAAGCTCGAGATTGAACGAGGCCGACGAGGCGCGTGACGTCAAGATATCTCGTTTCCTCCTCTCTTCGCTTCGCCCCTTCAAGGTGGTGAGGCGGAGAAGACGCGAGGCCGTTCCCTCTCCTCGGAAAATCAAGACGAACATACTGTATCTGTCAAATGCGCCTCCTTTAAAAAAAAAAAAAAAAAAAAATACGGTCATTTGTTCGAGATATCGCTGGATGAGTGATGTTTTGGTGTTTCTAGCATCCCGTTGCATGCTTTTGCCGCCGTGCTTCGTGGAATTCAGATTTCGGTTCAGCATGATCAAGGCGCTTGGGTCTTGATCATCCCCTTATTTCCAAGATGGCTCTTGGAGATGAAGACTGCGAAACTCGTGATAACAAGACAGGCGATTTTGTTTATGTAGGGTTGTAGTGTTTAGTCTAGCTTGGTTTTAATAGACACTCGAGGTCAGATAAAAAAACCAGCGGGGCTTTCGTTGAAAAAAACGTAATCACATTTTCGAGGTAGTCTGCAACGAAGCAACGCGGAAAAGCAGATGCTCAAAAGTGTCATCCATCTAACCGAGAATTGAAGGCTCGTAAAGAACAAAATGGCGAACCATCATCATTGCTTGTGTTTTCCCACGACGTTGCCATTGTGTCGATAGAGATCGATAAAAAAAGCTGCGCACTATGTATTGTATCGTGTACAGGCGACCTCTTTGAACCCCCCGTGCTCTTTGACCTCTGGTGTGCTTGGGATGCGCGTGCCAGCGCGACGTCGGAGGAAAGCTCGCCGGCGGGTTAACTGAAGGAACTGTCTTCTAATCAGTGACTCGAATCGATCCTTGGAACGCTCGTCCTCGGCACGCGCCAAGCAGCCCAGACGCTTTTCAAAGAACAGAATGGACCCTTTTCAAAGGTGCGCGCCATCTGCTGCGCCAATTATCCGAATCCGCCATTGAGGGCTGCGTCATTGTTCGGCGTCAACTCGGCTCAGCTCGGACCGAAAACGAGGGTTGGGTAAGCGTTCGGCGAAGACTGATCCTATCCCACGCCTCATGCCCAAGAAATGGCCAATATGGAGCTCGATGAGCTTATGGAAAGGGTCTATGGCGTCAACATAATAGACAGCGCGCCGGTTCTGAAAGCGTGCGGACTATTGAGGGTCCTGCACTGTCCGGGAGTGCCCCATCTAGAAGACAAGGTCTGAGTTACATAAGTTGCGTTTGCATCGCTGCCAGCGCGTCTCGCAGCGTCTGACAACCCATTGCCTCCTCTATACTCACACAGCCTGGCAGTTCGACAACGCAGATCTGGAGTGCGAGTATCTGGTAGCACAAAGCATTTCTCGTGGAATCTGGTCGTCAGCGCACAGCTTTTGCAGCGGCGAGGACCCGAAACATAGTTTCCCAACCAGACGAGAAAAGAAGCGGTAGCGCGAGGAGCACGAGCGGACATTCCATCGCTCCGGAGAAGTGTATCTCGGCGTCTCGCCGCAGCGGGGCGCCCGTCACGTAGCTCTCTTCTCATCCGTTGTCTGCCGCTCTATCTTTTCCCTTTCGTCGGCCGCTTCTCGTGGCGATCTGCCAGGCTTTTTCAGTATGGAGGAGGCCATGCACAACCGCATCTGCCGCTCTCTCGTCCAGCTTCAGCGTGTCATGGGGTGGAAAACGATGACGTCATGCCCTTCTCTTTTGCGTGTTATTCGCTTGACTCACGATCAGAGCGCTTCCGATGGCGGTGTCGACAAGCGGCGGGCTCGGGCTCATCACTGCGGTGACGGTGATGTAGGCAGACAGCAGGGTTCCCACCAGGGTCATAAGGTTCAGGTGCGCCTGCTTGCGCAGGGTCACGAACATGGCCGCGATGCAGGACGCCGGGTACGCGATGCCGCACAGCGTCACAGACAAGTGCAGCACCCCGCTGCCGTACGGCAGGCAGGAGTACGACTGGAAGGCAACATTATAAGGACGACCTCTCGTGTTCAGAGTTCTCCGACTGACGCTAAAAGCGTGAGCTTCTGCGGGAAAAAAATAAAAAGGTACATTTACGAAACGTCAGAGAACATCCCTTTGCCACACTCGCACTGCTCATACATCATCCAAAATCCACGGTGTTCACTACAGAAGTGTCTGCGGACATGAGTGCTTGTTTGCTTCATACATGTATGTATGCTCCGAACATGTCTGCGGACAGTTTTCGAATGACCAAGGTTATAGAAGGAAGGCCTCAGACTCTGTCTGCAGACTGTCTTTTGTGCGATGTATTAGCCAATGCTACCGCTGCTTTAGAGGTCATGCTGGCCTTGGAGTGTGGCCATGTTGGAGTTCCCCTTCGCCCTCCAAAATGACCTGCCCTGCACACCCCTCGGGAACATGGGAACATTCATGCACACTAAAAATAATTGCACGCTTAAAAATACACTAAAGTGAACAAAAAGTTTTTTTTTTATTTAAAGGCATAGCTGGGACACTTTTTTTCCATAATTTACGCACGAAAGCAAAAAGAGAATGTGTAATATTTACGCCGTTAGACGTAATTTAGGTGCAGGTCATGGCCCGTTCTAAGCCCCGCCCACAGATCAGTGGCCCCGCCCATTACTAATGGATTGGCTCGGGTGCTCGACCGAACATGCTCGGAAGCCTATTGTCTCCATTTTCCCGACATCCGGTGCATCTAGTCCGGAACCAGAGGTAGGAAGCTTCTGGGGGCGACATATCTCCACCAGGGGTGAAGCCAAAAGTGAGGGACATGCCCAATGACCTCTCCTTGGTTTTGGAGTGAGGGCGTTGCGTGAGGACAGCGCAGCAGAGGTTGGGTGCAGTATTTCTCCACGGGGTACGGTGCCGTCGGGGTCGAGAAGCGCTCCGATTGCAAACCGAAACTTAAAAACCCATCGACTTTGTGCGGTTATTCAGAAAGCCGTAAAATGCTGTGCGTGCTTTCTATAGTTCTGCAATTTGTTGATCTATTGTTTTTCGATGATGCTGAGCAATTTTCTAATTAAAACCATGCCCTTAAAGGGGACTCCGCCGATTGTTCGAGCTACCTAATCCAAAGGCATAATCTGAATGCGGATGGCTTCCCGATTCCGAAATGCTATCCCGTTCTCCCAGATTCACTCTAGTTAATTACAAAAAGTGATATTGTGTTTGCTTCCGAAACCGAAGTCTCGTTCTCCCCTAGTTTTTCCCCAGTTTTTCCCGCCCCCGAAGCGTGACGTCACGTCACGGGTGGGCAGCGAGGCGCGCGGCCAGCAATCGGGTACGGTCGCGCCCGCCTGGGCGTTCCTGCTATCTGAAGTTGATAATTATCTATACTTGCACAAAGTATAACCTTGGCCTACGTGCTAAACTACAAGAAAGTAAAAAAAAAAAAAAAAGACGGGAGCAATTGGAAATCTAATAAAACCGTTTCTGCAATTCAGTACGCTCAAGCCGCGGCTTGCTAGTTTCGTGATATTGCTAATAAATTCGTTCTCTTTTTTTTTTTTTTATAAGAGAAGAGAGGTCGAAGAGTCATGTAATACATTTTTTGACAAATTGCCAAAGCACCACGGAAAATGCTCGGAATGTGGGTACAGGTGCCCCACATAATCGTATAACTTTAAGGAACGTGCCATTTGTTTTAAATTCTCTTTAGAAAAGTTACTGTTACAGGCGCCAGCACGTGTAACTATACTCTTGTGGCATGAATATGCGCCTTGGTGCTTAAGTAATTTAGCAAAAGATCTATAGACCATTTCTGAAAAGCGCTTCTGGTCGATGCCATTTTCAGCGTTCGTGCGTGTGGCGCGTACATTGCTCGCCTTCCAAAGCGACGAACATGTGCGTGCTGGGCTGGGACCTAACACATGTAGACTGTGATTCTCGTAGACATTGAAATGTATAGGATGGAATGAGCTGCACTCGTGTAGATCAGATGGCAGGTTACTGGTCATGAAGATCGTGTTAAAATGACAAAGGAACTCGGCAACCACCAAGCCAAACATCGGGGTGCAATGGAATGCGTATGAAATACACAAATACACTGTTCATCTTTAAATAAAAAAAAATTGCTTGAAGACACAATAATGCGTGAAGTCATCATAAAACTTTTAATTCAAAATAAGTTAACAAAAGTTACTAAAAAAATGTGTACCCGTAAAATGTGTAAAAAATGTGATCTTGAAACGTTTCGGGCCTGGTAGGCTCTTCGTCAGTCAAAGTAAGAACATATATATATATATATATATATATATATATATATATATATATATATATATATATATATATATATCTTGACGCGATGATCGCGTCAAGATTGGACTTTGCCCTCTGTGTTCCCCTTCCCTACGAGCTCCTCCATACCACCAGCGCACCTGTGAAAAAAACCCAGAACCGCCTCCCTCATCGCGACAAAATTGGACTCGTCCCCCCCGTGCTTCCCTTACCCTACAAACCCCTTCGAACTTTCGCGTTAACTAACCCTCTCCCTAGATATTTTATAAAACTAACCTACCACGCCATGTGGGCTCCCGTCCTGAAGAAGGCAGTGCCACTGCCGAAACGTCGACGGACGTCAGGCCCTTTTCTTATTTTTTATACATTTTTTATTTTCAATTCTTTATTTTATTTTTCATTTAACAATTTATTTTTTGTAAGTTCTTGTGTGTTAACTTTGACTTTTACTCCGTCCTGTTTAAAAGTTTCTTTCCCGCGTAATTAGCGCTCTTGTGCCTAGTCTTCATTATTCCCGTAAACTAATACAACTTTTTTTCGGCACTTCACCCTTTTTTCTTGCGTGACTTTTTTCGCCATTAAATTAGAATTTTATTCTTTTCATCCCACGGCTGCTGTGTCTGCGCACATCACTTTTGCCTATATATATATATATATATATATATATATATATATATATATATATATATATATATATATATATATATATATATATATATATATATATATATATATATATATTCTTTTTTAAATTTAGTTTTGGTTTAGCGCAGTTTCCATCAGCTGTAAATTTGCATGCCTCCCCTCAACGGCATTAATATTTTTGTGGCTTAAAAACTTTTCAGCCCTATATAAAATTTCTCCGCAATAGAATCAATAAACTAAAGAGGTTTTCATCACTTCTTCTGCAGCGAATATTGCACGCCAACCATTTGACAAACCAGGCAAAAGCTCTATCGTATATTAATGGAGCTCTACACCTGCTCCACAAACCTCTGTAATGGCAGACAGGAATGACTCGTCTAAATTCAGACTTGAACTTTGTTTAGGCGTTTCGCTTCTCGTCTTCAACAGATCGGCCGCGTGAGTGGAACTACGAGAGTAGCCCGAGCTAGATTCGACGTCCGAAACAAAAATAGTGTTGATAAAAAATAAAAAAAAAAAACAAAAAAACACTGAACCAATTGTGAATAACAGATATGACTGTGCAAAATGTCGACTCCAGTACTAGATTGTGTACTATATTTCTCGATATTATTAGCGCTCTTCTTTGGACGGATGTCGTAGTGGTGACTGCCGAATTGAGTTTGCGCTTGCCGCTCTTGAAGGTGGTTCAGCCGCTGAAGGGTACTCAACTCGCAGCACTCGGCTATAAAGTATTACGAGCAAAACTGAAAATGTTTTACGTGACGCTAGTTCTTTCGGCACACAGCTCGCGCAAAAGCACCTTGACGTGGCTGACCTCCATTGCTGCTGGGGGAACGCTTTTTTTTCCTCCCAAGAAAACAGTAGCTTAAACCTGGAAAGGGGAAAGCCAAGAAAGAGAAAAACCTTATGTTAGAGGTATTTTTTACCGCAAAGACTCATAAACCAGAAATACCATTCCGCACAGTAGTGTCGGAGCGAGATTCCTGGCTCAGGGCAGTTTCAGGATATCTGCAAGTCCACCTCAACTCACTGCAGATTGATGACCCTTTTAACATTCCAAACTCGATGTCTGTTATAAAATTCTTAAAAGACAACAACCCAGAAAAATGTAGCGCATTTAGCATAGATGTGGAAGAGTTATATTACTCTATGCCCCATCATGAGCTCATGAAGAGCGTAAAAGAATGTATTTTTGAACGCAACGATGAAACGAGGTTTACGACCAAGAGTGGAGTCTCAGTTGAAGGGTTCCTAGAGCTTCTGTCTATGTATCTAAAATCCACGTTTATCGATTGGCAGGACAACGTTTATGTACAAAAGTCAGGTGTATGTATAGGTTCAAGAGTGGCCCCTATGCTGAGCAGTATTTTTCTAGGTAAAGTTGATAGGGCCCTTGAGCACAGGCTGGCGAACAACACCAAAAAGGTTGTCAGATATGTAGATGATTACCTGATTTTTGTAGAAAAAAACAATTTTAGTAGAACAATAAGTGAAGTGTTAAGGACGTTCGCGGAGGAAGGGTTAGGACTCCGCTTCACTTCCGAGACTCCTAAGGAGCACAAAATCCAGTTTTTAGACATCCTAGTTGACGTGAAAGAAGATCATGTATGTTGGATGGACCACCCCAGATCCACGAAGAAATTACTAGACTATCGTTCAGCACACTCAAAGCTCGGAAAAAGCGGTATTGCGTATTCCTGCTTACAGTCAGCGTTGACAAAAACCTGTTTTCATAAGATGAAAGAAAGCTTCTCAGTACAGGTCGCTAGACTCAGAGACTAATTTTCCCGACTCAATTATTACTTCAGCCTGCGATAAGGTGACTCGGTATATCAAGATTGATTCCAGTAAACCTGAAAAAGAAAAAGCCAAGATAGACAAAACGAAAGTCGCTGTTATTCCTTACATCCATCGTCTTTCACACGGGTTAAAGGGAGTCGGTTCGAAGTATGGGGTCAACGTAATTTTTTCAGCGCGTAACAAACTGAGCAGAATTACAAACGTGGTTAACAAGCGTGCTGACAGGAAAAGTAAGCCAGAACTGTTTGGATGTCGCGTCAAGCATGGCATGAAGTTCGTGTCCTGTGCACAGGGGACCGTTTATGAAATACCTTTCTCATGCGGTCACTCATATATAGGTGAGACGGGTCGTTGCCTCAACATTCGTCTACGCGAACACCACAGTTCATTAAAAGGTAACGCGTACTCCCATTTAGCTGTCCACTGCCGTGATTGTGGATGTGAGCCAAAATTTAGTGACACAAAAGTGCTCTTTAAACACAAAGATCAGCTATCGAGGGAGCTAGTAGAAGCTTATCATATAGCGAAACGAAAACCCGGGTGCGTGAGCCAACCATCCATTAGCCTAGTGGACAGTGAGGTAATTTTTTTGGACATGGGTTGACCTGAGAATTGAAGATCGAGATTGAAGATCCAAGAAAGAAGAGAAGAGGAAGACCCAATGACTTATACCTGTGCTGGTGTGTTTTAATGTACTCGTGTGTTTTAATTTGATATGATTTACAATGTTGCGTGCTTAATGGCGAATGACTGGAAGAGGGAAAAGAAGAAGCCGACCTCGCGTGAATTTCTATGTATGTGTTCTGAGTAGACAGTTGATAGTCAGCGCCTCGTCCTGTGTGTTCCTCCTTCTTGTCCGTGTGGCATTCGCGCTGTTTTTCAAAAAGGGGTAAAAAAAAGAAGCCTTTCCCCGGCACTGTTTCTACGGTCTACCGCGGAGCACAGATTGCTACTCATTGCAATGGAACTTTCAACTTCGAAGCTGCGAAACAATAATCTCGATCGCTGTCGCTCGGAAAGCCATGCTTCGCGGCTGCCCGAGTCGCTCGTCCGCCTGCCCACCCGTGACGTACGCGGGTAGAGAAAAGTAGGAATTTTTCATTGTCGCCAGTAGAGTCGCCTCCTGGAACTTTCGTGACCGGGGTTACTTGAAAATTCGATAACTTCACGGAAGATTTTTATTTTTAGAAAATATTTTGGTTATCAGTTAAGAAAGGGTTATTGATGCGGTCTGCGAATTTCCATCCAAATCGAAGTCTACCAAAAAAAAAAAAAAATCGGCGGAGTTCCCCTTTAAAGGCAATATTAAAAAAGTTAATTTCGCAAAAATAATTAATAGCTCAATTATCCCAAACTTTAATAATTTTCCTAAATGGGCCCGTGGCCCAGGACCAAAACGACACAGACTTTTTTTCGTTGCGGCGTGCAGTTTTCGCAATATCGAATTTGTCCAGTTTTTGTGAAGCAGCCTGTATGTTTTTATTAAGGTTAAGGGAGCCCAGTTTGTGTAGCAGCAAGGGGTGAGACATTTTATCAAATGCCTCACACGAATCAAGAAAGATGACGAGCGTAGGGGTATTCACACGAGGGAGAAATCCCGGGGATTTCTCCCCGGCACGCGCGCATCGCGAGATGAAAACGCGAGGCTTTTGCACATCGCAAAGCCTGACGTTTTCGTCGTGGGATGCGCGTGCCGGGGAGAAATCCCCGGGATTTCTCCCTCGTGTGAATACCCCTATAGGCTCGGAAATTATGCTCAGTACTATTACAAGTCTACTTTCTGTGGTCTTGACTGTAGGTCGACCTTTAATAATAAAAAAAAATTGTGCCGAGAAAGAGAAAAAAATAAACGCGTGGGTAAAATTCGGCAGGCACACTTAAGACTGCTTACGTGTAGGAATGCGAAAGCACTTCTACACGCAGCGCATTCCTACAAGCAGCGCGCCACGTCTTCTTTTTGCACACGGCGCTCGGGCGGTGACATCACACTCCCCCACTGCGCAGGCGCGGCGAACCCCGCCGCACTCACGACGGCGTCCGTGACGAATCATCTGCGTTGCTGTGCTTTGTGTTTTATTTCTGAGGCGCGTGCGTGATGACGAAATTTTTTGACCATCTTTCGGGCACAACGCCACCGGTGTTTCGCCTAATGGAACAAATAAAGCTTTCGCCTTAAAAAAAAAACGGGTCTATACTTGAACAATTGCGGTAGGCAAGGTTGCTCCCATGCAGCTTTCGATCGAATGACGAGCGAACTTTGACTTCACCCTGGTGTCAAAGCCGCTAAAGAGCAGTGCCACTTTTAAAGCACTATAGGTTTTCATGTTTGGGTGGTTGTTTTTACAGTTTATAATATTAGTCTCGAGTTTGGTAGGGTCATACAGCTGGGGAGGCGAATTTTTATTGATAGACGTGTTAGCGGATATGCAGATTTTTGCTGACATTTTAGATAAATTATATTTACAGGCTAAATAAACTGCGCGCGTGCAAAAGTGGGAAAGGAGAGAAGCCTTATCCCAACTGAAGTGTTGCCCTATGATTAATTTGTCGACCATTTTTACCACCCATTGTAAATAAAGCCTACTCTGACCCGAGCCTCATTTTCGAAAAAGAGGACCGATGTTCTTTTTTCGCTCTATATATTCTGATTACAAAAGGTAATGAGTGATATGCTCCAAAATCAAAGACGCGAACCCTCAATAATTATAACAGATTAACTCATTTAGCGGTGCAATCACGTTTTAAATTTCGAGTGATGTGTTGGCATCTTCTCCTAAAACGTCAGTAGCTGTCTCAAACCAAAATTTTGCCTGATACAGAGCCTATTGCAAAAGGTCAAATGCCACTTCCGTCACTGCTTTGTTCTAGTCAATATTTCACTTAAAGCATAGCATATCTAAGTTCAAGGAATGTACCTCCAAGTGGCACAGGTAATACTTATGCGAAGTAGTCGCTGGAACGACCAGCTAAAACTATTTGAGGCAGATGTCAGTGCAGCAATCACCACAAAAAAAAAAAAAAACAAAAAAAAAAAGTTTGCTTGATTTGATTGTAGTACCGTTTTTCACACCTTTCAAAAATGAAGGGTATCCTACGCAAGATTACCCTATTTTACGAATAAAAAGGGCGTATTACTCGAAAGAAGGCCGCTAAAGGTGTGGGTGCAAGTCTCTGGGACATACTTTTTACACCCTTAAAGATGTAAGATTTCTTAGTGTGTACTTGGACCCGTTCACCATAGGATGCCTCCATGAAGCGAACATGAAAGCACTCTAACTCTAGTTCACCGGGGTTTCGAGTGATATAGCGCGGGAAATAAAAAAAAAAATAAAAAAGAGAAGGGAAGATTTAAAAGGTTGAGAATGAGCAGCGTGAGAAGTCGGGGGATGTAGCTGATACGGTCTAGTTCGTCTCGCTCTGACGGCTTTTAGATGCACATATGGATTGTCAGAAGGCTTGTTATTTTCTGCGAGGGAATGAGTAAGGGCTCACCTGCAGCGAAGGCAGAAATCCGAAGGAGAGCAGACTTGACCATCCTTGGGTCAAGAGCAGGGCGACATATCTCCACTTCCGCATTCTGGGTCTTTGCTGAGTCACCTCGTCGGGTTTCTCTTCCGGGGGCTCTTCAGTTGGAATGGCGTGGAGTGCCACCTGGAGGATCCCTGGTCCAAACCTCGTCGCCCTGTACTCCTCTCGCTGAAATAACCCGAGACACCGAGAAATGCAGGTCGAAAAAAAAATTGGGTTGTGTGTGTGTTTATACAGCCTAGAACTTGGTCTGCCTCACAGGGGCGACGAGTCTCCCAGCTGTAGATGAGAAATTTAGCCAGTGCGGTACAGCCGCTAGCCTGGGGTCTTTAACGTGCATCACGCAGTAGTGATACACGACCGCACGCCGGTACGATGCTCATCCAGATCGAAACGATCTGGTCGCGATCGCATTACACGTGTGCGCGCTCTCAACATTGCTTTGTTAACTTCGAATCGTGAGCAGCGTAATTCTCAATAATTCTAAAAAAAAAAAAAAAAAACTTCCGGCATTAAGTTGAATACTTTGTTGTTCACGCTACGAGAGCAAATCTAATGTTGATGACGAGAATAACGGAAAAGTTAACTTTAAGTGTGCAATTAGGTAGGTACACTGTAACGCAATTTAATTGCATTTAGGTGTTGCATTATTATGTAACGTATATTTAACTGCAAAAAAAAAAAAAAATCCGAGGACACTTAAGCACTTTTTTCGAGTTGTGAATGCGGAAGCATTCTCGGCGCCGAAAGGAGCAGAAGCGGCCGCTGCGCCGGCAGGGAGTGCGGCGGTGCACCGCGCAGGCCGCCCTGGCTGCTGCGCCGCTGGGTGAGGCAGCGGCGAGAGTGCGAAGCTCGGCGCGGGCTGAAATCACGTGTCCTCTCATCATCATCATCGCTCTAGCTGCGGGTACCGGTTGACGACGTTAGACCTCAAAGCGTAACGTTAGGCCTAGCGTTAGGCCTAACGTCAGGCCAGCGCATACGCGCGACCCTTTTCACGTCAAACAGCTGCGCGTACCGATTTACGACGTTAGACCTCAAAGCGTAACGATGGGCCGAACGTCAGGTCAGCGCATACGCGCGTCCCCCCTCACGTCAAACAGCCGCGCGTACCGATTGACGACGTTAGACCTCAAAGCGTAACGATAAGCCTAAAGTCAGGCCTAATGTCAGGCCAGCGCATGCTCGCTTCACTCTCTCGCCGCGCCGCCAGCAGTTCCGATGGCCCCTTAGCACCGATGACGCCATTGGCATGGTTCCACACAACGCGTCGCAGCCAATGGGAATTTAGGTGCCTTTTCGCTGCTACAGACGGCGTCGGCTTTCTCCATAGGACAGTTAATGCTTTCGCATTAAAATAAGTTCATTGTAGTTTATTCTGAGAAAGTTTAATTAGTATTTACCAACTGCACAGTCTAAAAACGCATGACATACCCATTCCGACTGAAAGGTCCGGCACTCGTTGAGCATCACGAACGCCACCCAGCTGACAACCATCAAGAGAAGGAGCACAGCAAAGAACAACTCGGGGCCAAAGTTTGTTGCACCCACCTCGAGGACGGTTTCTATTCTAACAGACCCATTCACTGAGTCGACGACTGTCCTGTTCACGCACCTTGGATCGTCAAGCCCTTGGGCCAGCGCAACAATGCTGGGCACTAAACCACCGAGTCCCTCCCCGATCAAGAAAGACGTCATGTAGACGTCCTTGAAGCGACCTACGAACGGGAGGTAGACCACAGAAGAGGTGCAGTCCACAATGGACAGCGAGAACGCGGCGACCATAAGGACGAGGCTGACATCCTTGCCGGCGATGACGACGGTCCGTTTCCAGTTGAAGACGAGGACCACGCAGGCCACCGTGCCGATAGCCATCATCGTGTGGTTGGCAACGGTGAGGCTTCGTGGCCCGTTGAAGAAGATCCTGGTGAGGCCGTAGACGACAGTACTCACGTTGGCCAGCTGGATGGTGAGCGTGAGAGAGGAGGATAGTGCCCAGCCCTCGGGAAGGACGTGGACCAGCACGGGCAGTTCCATCCAGATGCCCGTGATGGCCAACCAGGAACTGAGCCCGTACACGGCGCATAGCAGGTCCAGGACCGGTCGCCGGTGGCTTGTGAAAGACCACCAGTCTGGAGGCATGGCTTGCGCCTCGGAATTGCACCCTGAAGCTCTTGTGTTGTCAGTCGATCTGCTCGGCGCGGAAGAAGCATATCGGCGCTATCAATGTCACCGCTAAGCCACACTGACATCAAACAGAGAGCAGCCTGCTGACGCTGAGGCGTGATTCTTCTTTGTATATCAGATATTTTTTCTTTACTCATGAAAAACCCGCAGCGCCTATACAGGCATTATTGCAGGGGGGCACAATGCATTAAAGGGATACTTCAACGAAATTTGAAATATCCCCGTCGTGTTCAAAAATGGGTTATGAACTTATGATCCACAATATCCGTAAATGACAATCGCACGTTTGTGTTTTGAGCCTGGTGGCTGTATTTTTCGTTATAAACCGCCCACTATGGCAAGCGCTCGGAGAAGGCCCAGCGGAGACCATGTGGCATCCAACGCAATCGTGACGTAGGTCGTCACAAGACGAACAAAGCTACGGCGAGGCCGACGTCGAGAGGATGGCCTAGTCGTTCTAGACACCGAAGCGGCTGCTTTTGTACGAATTTTGAGTGACGGGTTAATCTTCTGTAATCTTGTAGGGGGACAATAGCGACTTCTGCGACACACAAAAGGTATTCTCGGGAAAAGGGGAGTTCCTCCTGCCCCTCTTCTTTTGTCGTGGCCGGAGGCGAGACAACCTCCGTCACTAGCTGTCAAGGTTCCTAGACGCGCATTACAAGCGAGGCGTTAGCGACATCCACCAGGTGCTCTTTGCTAATCGTTTAATTCGTTTTAAAATTCCTTTTCGAGACTTTTTTAACAAGATATTGGTATGTTCGATGTGATGCTTCTCCTTTGAACACATATAGACCAAAAAATGAGCGCCAAGATTTCGTTGTAGTATCCCTTAAAAAAAAAATATATATATATATTTACAGTTTCGCGGCACACCTCTTCCGCCGGTAATGAATTCCATTCTGCGATGGTTCGTGCAATCAAAGAGTGTTTCAAAATGTTTGTCCTGGAGAAATACGGTTGAACCCTATAACAATGGTCTGTACGAGCAGAACGGTAGGATGGTGAATGCAGAAACTTTGCAGCACAAATTCCTGTTTGGTTCTGATAAATCGAGGACAACGATTTGAGGCGCAGCCTTTTACGACATTCATTTAAGTGCACCCATCCCAGTTCCTTTTTCATTTCAGTTGTGCTACTGAAACGATCCTATCTTCCCAGGACAAACCGAGCAGCTACAGCACTGATACGAACCTGGTAAGACGGATCCCACATATGACAGGCATACTGTAATATCGGTCTAACATATGCTTTATACGCTGCTTCCTTAAGCTCTTTGATTACATGCTTGAGGTTGCTCTGTAAAAAAACTTAGAGCCCTGCCTGCCCTAGAAACGACACTGTTCACTTGAGCTGTCCATGTTCCGTCTTCGGAAAATATAACACCTAAATATTTATAAGATGGTTCCAGTCTAATATTTTCATTGTTAATGGAGTACTGATAAGTCAATTTATTATGTTTTCTTGTGAAGCACACATGATCACACTTGCTAGCGTTCAATGACATCTTATGGTTACTACACCATGATTCAATTTGTTTAACATCTCTCATAAGCTGTGTGAAATCCGTTTCACCAGATACTGCGTTGTACAATGTACAATCATCGGCTAATAGAGGTATTTTTGATTCAATTCCTCGGGAAATATCATTAATATAAATGAGAAAAAGAAGCGGTTCCAACACAGATCCCTGTGGCACGCCAGATGTTACAAAGACACGACCCGAACATGTCCCATTTACCACAACCTGTTGCTGTATTGAAGCTAGGTAATCCCGTAACCAGTGCATCACATTATTATCAATATTTAGGATTTCAAGTTTTTGTAGTAATACCGAATGAAGAGACAGTATCAAATGCTTTCTTGACGCCTAAAAATATACAATCAACTTGAACTCTATTATCAAGTACTGTGGCAATATCATGATAAAACTCGATTAGCTGCGTCGTACATGAAAAACCTTTTCAGAACCCATGCTGTTGATCATTCAAAAAGTTGATCAAAACAAGGTGCTTCATTAACGTCGAGTACAAAACATGTTCATCAATTTTTCAGCACACTGGGGTAAGCGAGATCGGCCTGTAGTTCGAAACATTACATTTATTTCCGCCCTTTAAAACTGGCACGACATTGGCTACTTTCCAATCGTCAGGTAGTTTTCCCTCCTGTATCGACTGAGAAAAAATGACAAAAAGATATTTCGCTACTGCACTCAAACAATCCTTTAACACTCTAGGGGAGATACCATCAGGACCAGTAGCTTTGTATTCATCAATATTAACAAGCAATTTATGGATTCCAATAATGGAGAACTCAACCTGCGGCATGCCAACATACTGGTCGCTAACCATCTGTAGGGAAACATTTTCATCGGGAAGGAATACTGACTTAAAGAAATCATTAAATAATGTAGCTTTATCATAATCATTTATTACTACAAACCCTTCATGCTGCATTTGACTGGGGAGCCCAAGCTTATCATTACCGCACCGTTTCATAAATTTCCACAACTTCTTGTTATTACTTTGCAGGTCTAAAGTTAAACTTTAAAAGAACGACCTCTGGCATTCTCTCAATTTTTTCTTATATTGGGACGTTAGGTCCCGCAGTTTACAAAAGTTATCCTCAGATTTATTTTTGCGGTACCTTGTAAAGGTTCTTTGTCGTCTACGTATCATGCAAATTAGCTCACTAGTAATCCATGGTTTCTCCCTCTTTTTCAGTTTACTGCTTAATGCACTAGGTACATGAGCGTCCATGAGAGTAAAAAGTCTTTCCTTAAACGTTAGCCACAAATTATTAACGCTTTATGTCGTCTGATATACATTCAAAAGACAAAAAAGTGTTCTCAAGATTTATTGAGATCTTCACATAATCCCCTTTGTCAAAAAAGAAAGCTTTCCTAGGCTCGTTAATTTTGACTCGATTTGTAGTTGCGGCCAAATTGGCAACGACGGCATGATGATCACTGATGCCAGGTATGACGCATACATTCGACAGAACATCGGGAGTGTTGCAAAACAACAAATCAAGAGAGCCGCGTGTCGGCTGGGTGACATTGAGAAAAGTCAAGCGTATCCGACATAGTTTTCATCTCAGAGTATATACCGCTATTAGAGCCTAAAACACACCTACTATCACTCCATGTGCCATCCGGTAAATCAAAATCACTTCCAAGAAGAATACACCCGGCAGAAACAGAACAAACAATCTTGCTCAGCTGCCGCATAACGCTCAGTTCAGAAGCTGGTGGACGATAAGAGGAGCCAACCACAAATCTGGAACCATCAGACTGTATGACACGACACCAAACGGATTCAGTTTTTATTTATTTATTTATTTACCCTCAAGGTACATAGTACATTTCAGAGGGGAGTGAACTCAAAAAAAAAATGATGGCAATTAAATCAGTCAACTAAGGATGCTGTTACCAAGTGCTTGTTTAAAAAGAGAAACGTCAGTGATGGAGGCAATTGAAGCGGGAAGGCGGTTCCAATCTGTTGACGTACGAGGTATGAATGGCATACTGAATGCGTTAGTGTTGTAACTTGGTATGCCAGCCTTATGAGCATGATCAAGGCGAGCTGAGCGATAAGATGGTTCGAGCATGAGGCACTGGCGTAAAAGTGAATTGTGATGGTAGATTTTATGAAATAAGGAGAGACGAGCACATTTACGGCGGAAAGATAAGTCAGGTAATGACAGAGTTATTTTCATAGATGTTACACTGGAAGTACGATGATAGATAAGATAAATCGAGCTGCTCGATTCTGAATGCTTTCTAATTCAGTGACAAGACAATGTTGGCCGGGATCCCACACAGATGAAGCGTACTCCAATTTAGAGCGGACTAGACACTCGTACATTATAAGTTTTAGCGATGAAGGCGCTTGAGAAAAATTGCGTTTTAAGTAACCCAACATACGGTTGGCATTACCAACAACATGCTCAATATGGGTATTCCATGAAAGATTAGAGGTGATATAGACGCCGAGGTACTTGTAACTGGAAACAGGTGATAGGGGTGCATTGTTAATGTAGTATGTAGGACATGTAGTGTTAGAACGCGATACTCTCATGGACTTGCATTTATTCGTATTTAATTCCATTAGCCAAGCATCGCACCAGCGAGCAATGTAGTTAAGATCTGTTTGAAGATGAACAATGTCAGATTGGTCAGTGATCTTGCGATAGAGAATGCAGTCATCAGCGAACAAGCAGACTGGTGAAGAAATGTTAGATACTAAATCATTAATATAAATAAGAAACAATAAAGGACCAATTACGGAACCTTGAGGCACCCCTGAATGAACAGACGCTAAAGCAGAATTGTTGTTAACACGTACAAAGTGTAGACGATTAGTTAAAAAGGTATTTATCCAATCGAGTATGTGAGGGTCAATATTTAAGACGCAGAGTTTCTGAAGCAGTAGAGAATGAGAAACTTTATCGAATGCCTTCGAGAAATCTAAAAAAAAAAACACAGTCAGTATAAGAGCCAGAGTCAAGAAAGCGATGAACGTCATGGGTAAAAGAGACGAGTTGAGTTTCACATGAGAATGATTTTCTGAATCCGTGCTGAGCCGATGTAAAGAAGTTAGATTCTAAAAAGGTAGCGAAATGAGAGGATATATGTTCTAATATTTTGCATGGAACACTCGTTAGTGAGATAGGACGATAATTACATGGATTATGTTTGACACCTGACTTATGCAACAGAACCACCTTCCCGATCTTCCAGTCATTAGGCGCAATACCAAATTCGAGTGATTGGGAAAAGAGCTGATGAAGTATTATTGACGAATACATTTTGGTGTTTTTTAGAAATTTTTAATTAATATCATCAACACCCGTAGATGATGACATCTTAAGGCCATCTATTACATTTGAAATGCCAACCACATCAAAAACGACAGAATTCATTGGCAAGAAATCATGCACTGGTAATGAAGGTACACTTACATTACTCTGAACAGGAAATGACTTTACAAAAACATCATT